GGGGGGGGGTTTCTGAACATTTATCAGCAGTGTTTTGGTGCCCCCTAGTGGATAAATGAAGATGGTCGCCATGCTTGCTGAACAGACTTGAGAGGCAATAGACAGAGGGCCCCCAGAAGAGTGAGTCCCTGACTCTGAAGCAAAACCCTTAGCAGATGTAGGGTGCCGACAGGCTGGAGTGGATGTGGTTCCAGGAGGGAGGTGCCCTTTTCTCTTACAGTCTCTAGCGCTACGTATTAATAACCTGATTTATTTGGGGAAAAAAAAACATAGGAAACAAAACCCTGTGTGTGTGGATGTGTGTGCATATACACATGCACGCTGACATATTTCCTGATGCATAGCATGTGGGGTGTCGAGCAGGGGCTGGCAGACTTGTATGAAGGCGACCGTTTTAGGCTTCATGCAGGAGGCCACGGCCTCCTCCTGTTAGGCATGAAATCACAGGCAATAGAAAAGGGAAAGCCCGGCTGTGTTCGTTGGTGCATTAAGTGGGTCATGTGAGCTAGGGCCATGGCTCGATGAGTAACGTACTTGACACACAAGCATGAGGACCCGAGTTCAATCCCCGGCACCCACCTGAAAAGCCTGGCGCTGTGGTGCAGGCTTCCAGTCCCGGTGCTGAGGAGGCAGAGGTGCCTGGCAGAAGGGACAACCCAGGTCCTGGCCAGAGACCCTGCCTCAAATAGGTGGATGGCACCTGAGAAACAACACCTGGGATTGACCTGCCCACCCGTCTCTCTCTCTCTCTCTCTCTCTCTCTCTCTCTCTCACACACACACACACACACACACATCATCATCATCATCATCATCATCATCATCATCATCACCGATCAATACAGGCCATGAACTGCGTATAGTCATGACCATTGTTTGTCAGCTGTGTTGAAACAGGCCGTACTAATGTGTCTAACACATGACGGAGTAAATTCCTCTAGTTCGGTGACACCGTGCCTCTCTCACATTTGTGACTGAATGAGACCAGGTTCAGTCTGAAGAGCAGGTGCTCAGGGAGCGTGTTGCTAAACCCAGAATGGCTTTGACTGACCTCTGTAACATAGCAACTTCATCCCAGAATTTCCCAGGATGCACTGAGTGACAAAAAGCGTGCTCTCCAAATTGGCCATTTAGACCATCAGAGCAGACGGGGACTCGCTGCCACCCGTGATTTCTTTTCTAATTTGTCTCTGTCTAAAATGAGCCAGGCTGCGATGTGAGAGGCCAATAGGCCAAACTGCTTTGTTTAGCACAAAGAAGGACACCACAGAAGAGAGCCTGGCCCGCGTGACACGGCCCTATAGCCAAAGCCCTGTGAACTCCAGGGGCTCCTCCTGGGATGTGGTCTATACGCAGGAATTGTATTTATTACTTGTTGCTATGACGGAGAATCTGAGACATAGTATACGGGGGGGGGGTTGTTTTAAAGGGTTTTTTAATTATGTAAATGAGGGGGGTATGCACATGAGTGTGGGCATGTGTGGGTGTATGATCATGTGTGTGGACATTTGTTCAATGTGGACAGGTTGTAATGGGCACTTTGACTAATGGCCTTCCTTCCTGTTCACTCTTCCTCTTTACTTCCGCCTCTGCATCACCGCTGCTACTTCGCAGGTCTTCGGACTGCTAGTATGGACGCTTATCGCGGGCACTGAGTATTTCCGCGTCCCTGCTTTTGGCTGGGTCATGTTTGTCGCTGTCTTTTACTGGGTCCTCACTGTCTTCTTCCTCATCGTCTACATCACCATGACCTACACCAGGATTCCCCAGGTGCCCTGGACCACAGTGGTAAGTCTACCTCAGGGTCTACACCTGCTCAGGGCTATGAGGTGTCTTCTTGGGGATTCTGGGTCACCTTCGCTCACACAGGACAGGCCCGTGCTGGAGAAGCCAGGGGCAGCAAGTGATCCCTCATTTCCTGATGACCTGAGCACAGTGGAACAGTGCATGCACGGCCTCGGACATCCCCAGACAAACTGAGTCAAGGAAAACTGGGTTCTATCACTATAAACAGTGTCACCTACAAAACAGGGGTGTCAGGACACCACTGTATCCAGACCTTCCTTCCTTCAAACTCTGCATCACAGTTCTCTGTGCATGACTAACGAAAAAGGAACATGGGTGGCTGAAACACGCGGATTCTGGGAGGAACTGGAGTGTGGGAATCCTTGCTTTCTATGACCAGTAGCAAGGGAAAAGGGAAACACACATATATACACACACACACACACACACACACACACACAGAAGTAGTAGTGTGGTGGTTGACTCTGGAGTACAGCACAGTGGTAGAGCACCAGCTTGGGATGTCCAAGGTCACGTGTTTAAATCCCTGCGCCACAGATACACAAACTACCAAAATTGGTGTCTTTCCATTTGGAAGCACAAATAGTTAAAGGGTTTGGATTGTTGTCCTGGCTTCAGGCAGCGTGCCGTGCCGTATACAGGATAACAGTGGTGATCACAGAATCTTCAGGCCAAAGGGAGTGCCTTGTAGCATGGAAAGTCTTGACAGGGAATTGGAAGTGGCCATTATCAGTGGGGAGAGTGCTCGCCTGGCATGCGCAAAGCCCTGGGTTCAATCCTCCGCACTACCTAAATAGACATGGTGTGTCACACCTCTAGTCTCGGCATCAGGGAGGTGGATGCAGGAGGATCAGAAGTTCGTTTTCATTGCATGTGGAGTTTGAGGCTCACCTGCCATACATGAGACCCTGCCAAAGACAGATAGATAGACAGACAGACAGATAGATGTGGTGGTACATGCCGAAATAACCCTAGCAACTCCAGCACTTGGGAAACTGAGGCAAGGAGATCTTAAGTTTGAACTCAAGCTGGCCAAATAGTGAGTTTAAGGTTATCTTGGTCTATGTATAGAAAGGCCCTGTTTCATTTAAAATAATAATATATTTCTTTTAAAGTGGCACCACATGTATGCATGTATAAAATAAAACTCTAAAGATATATTGGTTTACTTTGTTTCCAAATAATACACACACATACACACACTCTTCTGACTTGATGACTTGAAAGCCAGCCTCCTTGGGAGCTGTGACCCGAGGTTACATTGACAGACTTTCACACACTTGTCTTTGCTCAAAGTAAGCCCGTGCCTCTTTTTTCTGAGCTGCCTTCAGAGTCCAAGTAAACCCAATCAGACACAAGGCTCCTTTTGCTTTATAGAATGGATTAACTTGTGACTGTTTTCCCACATCCCAAAGTGAAGATTCTCCACCGGCATTTTTAAGCACTTGTATCTCATTCTGAAAGTGATCCCGTGAAAGGTGCTTATGACCATCCAGGACCAGACAGGTGGCCCTGGGAGTCAGTGTCCCCTTTCCCCATGGACACCGGGCTGGGCAAAGTCATTTGGATGTTGGATTCAGAAGTAGCTGGTACTGTGGTGTAACAGTAGCCATGGCAACAGAGCGGGAGAGCACAGTAGAGTGAGGTGGGGCTGGGCGTGGAGCTCAGTGGGTAGAGCGTTTGCCTAGGGTGCATGAAGCCCTGGGTTCAATCCCCAGCACCACATAAACTGAGCATGGTGGAGGCTGGAGGCTTCTCAGATAGGAATCATGAGTTGGAGGGTAGCCTGGGCTACAGGAACCTTAATCTCAAGATAAAGATTAGTAAATATATAAAAAGGAAAGAAAAGAGATTGTCTCTTCCAGAAGCTGAGGTATGTTCTTGCTTGCTGGCAATTGCTGGTGTCAATGGGAGACAAAGGATTTGTGTTCCCAGCTGCTTCCTTAAATACATGCAGGTTTGGGGAATGCCTGCAGGTGAGCTGGGTCAGCCAGCTCTGTCCCTCTGGCTCAGCACCAGGACTGGGGGTTGCAGGTTTGGGGAATGCTTGCAGGTGAGCTGGGTCAGCCAGCTCTGTCCCTCTGGCTCAGCACCAGGGCCGGGGACTGCCCCTTCTCCCTCGCTACCATTTTCTTCTCTAGTCTAAAGGTTTCTGTCCAGCTAGACATTTCCCAGCCACCTGCCACAGGGGGAGCCTGAATGTAGCTACTGTAACAGAAGAGGACATGTTATGTCCAGCCTCTGGGTCATGCCTTTGAGACGGGTGTGTTCTTGGAGTTGATCTGTGTTTCTGGGCTGGAAGAAGACAGCCAGACTGCTCTGACTGCTCGGCTTGTTCTATGAAAGAACTCTCGAGTTTCTCGTTTTGGGTCACATGCCCCAAAGAGACCTACCCATCGTCTCAGGGCTTTTCCCACTGTCTGTAGATCCAGTGTTCCTACTGATACCTGAAGGTCTTGTCTTAGGTGACCTCTAAGCACCTTTTTGTCTTGAAAATTGGAAAGAAAGTAAAGAATCAGTTCACATCTATGATCCCCACGTCCAGGAGGCTGACGCAGAAGGATGGGCTCCAATTCCAGGCTAGCCTGGGCTACAGAGGGAGACTCCAATACCAAACCCCAAGGCTGACTAGGTGGCTCAGCACGTAGAGGTGCTTGTCTCCAAGACCAATGTTCTGAGTGTGATCCCTGGGGCCCACAGGGTGGAATTGGTGAACCGATTCCCAGAAGTTGTCCTCTGACCTTACACACACACACAGCCTGATACAAGGACATACACAAAATAAATAAGTGTGAATTAAAAAAAAATTAACCCTAGGAAGTACTGTGCATAACTGAGTATAATCAAGTCAATTTAAAACTTGAATCTGGGGGTTGGAGAGATGGCTCAGTGGTTAAAAGCATTTGCTGCTCTTTGCAGAGGACCTAGGCTCAGTTCCCAGCACCCACACAGCTCAGAACCTCCTCTAACTCCAGGTTCAGGGGATCTGACGCCCTCTTCTGGCCTCCATGGGAACTGCACACACACGATGCACATATATATTTGCAAGCAAATACTCATACACATTAAATAAATATTTTTATTTTATTTTTAGAAAAACAAGCTGGGGGTGGCACATGCCTTTAATTTGAGCACTCTGGAGGCCGAGGCATGCAGATCTCTGAGTTCAAGACCAGCCTAGACTACAGAGTTCCAGGGCTACACAGAAACCCTGGCAGGGGTGCTGGAGAAGAGGGGGAGCTTAAGTAGTGGGCTAAGATGATCCCATTGACAAAGGGCTCACCATACAAGCCTGAGGATCTGAGTTCAGATCTCCTGAACTCGTGTACAGAGCTGCAGTGGGCAGCAAGATGGCTCAGCAGGTGAAAGGTGTTTGTCACCAAACCTGCCAACCTGGGTTTAACCTCTGGGTTGCACATGGTAGATAAAGAGAACCATCTGAGAGAGAGTCTGACTCTATCACCTGGTCTTTGATTAGAGTCCTCCTTGTTGGTTTACTACCTCAGCTATAAGGAACATTTTGTTTTTGTTTTTCGAGACAGGGTTTCTTTGTGTATTTTTTAAAATATATGCTTATTTTATTTTATTTTATTTTATTTTATTTGTGTGTGTGCAGGAGCTCAGGGAGGCCAGAGGAGGCACCGAGTCCTCTGGAACTGGGGTTCTAGGTGGTTGTGAGCTGTCAGGTGGATGCTGGGAACCAGACCCTAGTTCTCCCTGCGTGCTCCTGATCGCTGAGCCGACTCCAGCCCCGGACATGGGACTTCCTCAAACACTCCATCTGGTAGTGTGGGTCACTTTGGAGGGCAGTGACCTGCCTGGCTGGACCTCAAATTCTCCCCCAGCATGGGAAGGTGGCTCAGTCACTTCTTACAAGCCCTCTTCTGAAGTTGGTGTCTAGTTCTGGCCTGCAGGAGCCTTCCCGGACACTGATCCGTCTTTCTTCTCCTGTGGGGGGATAGACGTCCTTGGCAGTTCAGCGTCTTAAACTGAGGACCACAGATGCACAGGCCAGAGGCTAAACAAAGAGTGCCAGGCCAGCCAAGCTTTTATCTGTGTGCGCCTTTATCCCAGAGAAGACAGACTGCTTTCAGAGCAAAGCAGGATGGAATTTCAGGAGGGAACCCGGCCTCCCTCTTCTCCCCTCCACAAAGAGCAGCTGACCACCTTTGTAAAGTTCCACGCTCCCTAGAGCTCACTTCCACAGCACAGGGATGTTTGAGACCAGCAGGAGCTAGGAGGGTCTAATATATCTGAGCTACACCTGGCCCAGCAGGCGAGCAGGGCAGTCTGATGCTCTGAGCCCCCTCCCCCCATTCTCCTCTGGAGCCCTCTGAGGAGCTAGTTTCTTTATTTGGTTGGTTGGTTTTGGTTTTGAGACCAGGCAAGTCTCTGTCGCCGAGAATGACCTTGACCCTCCATCTCCCTGCCCTCAGCTCCAGAGTGCACCGTGACACCCAGGTTACCCAGAACTAGGGATGGAGGCCATGGCTGCACACATTCTACCAGCGGAGCTACATCCTAGTTGGGACACCATCTTTTTACTTAACATTACTTCGTCCAAACTGGATGCAGTTTAGTTACCATTGCAGAGATTTGATTTTTAAAAAATTTTAATTTTTTGGTGTTTTTTTTTTTTTTTTTTTGAGACAGGGTTTCCTGGAACTCACCCTATAGACCTATAGACCAGGCTGGCCTTGAACTCACAGAGATCCACTTACCTCTGCCCCCTGAGTGCTGGGATTAAAGGCATTCACCAACACACCTGGCCTCAAACCATTTTTTAAAAGGTGGGAGGGAAGTCTGTCATTTGACAGGTGATGAATGTGTGTCCCTGGACACACAACCTACCGTCACAAGGACCCATCCAGAGAAACAAGAAATCTTGTTCCCTCTAATTATTCTTTCTAGGCTTAAATGGCTAAAGGCAATTTATTAAGCAAAATATACTAATTTTTTCCTGAAAGAATAAGATACATAAGATAGTGTTGATTTTTGCTTGCAACTTTTAAAATTGACCTATTTTTGTCCATGTGAACGTGAGGACCATGTCACCTCCGCAAATGCCATATGCCTACTTATTCCAAGTGTTCAAGTTCCCAGACTTGTTCAGGGCAAAAAGTGGGTGTCGGCTCTTGACTACCCTCCTAACAGCCCTGGCCTTGTTGGAAAGAACCCCAGAGTGAGGCTGTACAACAAGGGGAAATTTTACTCACAGATGAAGTGTCTACCCGGCCCTTGGGTGTGCATGACATTGGACACTCGTCATCTTTGTCCCTGATCCTCTAGCTTGCTTTCCTTAAAGGGCTGACTCAGACTGACTCGTTGAAGCCTGCCCGTTATCCAATAAATCACAAGAAAGATTCCTGTGGTTACTCATAAATTTGGAGTCGATCTGCAAACATGACAGGCGAAGAAGGTACTGAGGAAGTCAGTAGAGACTTTGTTTGGATAGAGGACACACCAGCTTTCTTGGACACCTTGAAGCCTTTCTCAGTGACATTGACACACAGACCACTGTTCTCAGGTGAAAGCCCAGGTTAGACACTGTGGCCGTGTGCATCATCTACCTGACAGAATGCCCCGGTCGTATGGACTGAGCTGGAGTGCAGGGTGTCTCTCTCTGGTGCCCAGTATCCTGTCCTGGGTACCACAGAACCGCTCCAGCATGCTCCCCAGTTTTTCTTTGTGAATTCTTCTGAACTCTCTCATAGCTGATGTGGCTGAGATTATTCCATCGCAGGTGACTCTCAGGCAGCCAGGACTCGGTTCTACCCTAATGAAGCTATAGTCTCCATGGGCACATCACCCTGGACCAGGGCCAGCATGCACAGAAGCCTGAGATGGAAATAGGTTGTAGCTCACCTCAGGGTGCTGGCATCTGTGTCTGGAAAATTCTGTGTACCTTTTCTTCCAGCCTTTAATCTCAGTACTCAGGAGGCAGAGGCAGGTGGATCTCTGTGAGTTCAAGGCCCACCTGGTCTACAAGAGCTAGTTCCAGGACAGCTAGTTCCACTTGTCTTTTCAAATCTCCATTATTAAAGAGGAAAGAAAAGGTGGGGAGGTTAGAGAGAGGGCTCAGCATTGAAGAGCACTGGCTGCTCTTCCAGAGGACCCAGGTTCAATTCCTAGCATTGACATGGCAGCTCACAAGTTTCAGGAAATCCGACATCCTCACACAGGCATACATGCAGGCAAAACACCAATGTACATAAAATAAAAGTCTCTGCCCAAGGACATGTACTAGATGACCACAGTTGAGGTGAGGGCTGGGGTGGGGCAGCCAGCACTGCACAGCCCCTCCAGCTGCCCACCTCCCTCCACCAGGATCATCACGCTGAGGTTTGCAGGAGAGGGGGATCAGGAACCAAAGAGTGCTGGCTAAAGGAACAGTCTGAAGTCTGGGGGCCTTTGCGGACATGTGGCACCCCAAACTGGAGCTGCAGTGACAAGCTCTCCTCTCAGCTGCCTCCTTTTGGCCTTCGCTAGCTAACAGTCTGCCCCTCTTCGCAGGGCCTGTGCTTTAACGGCAGTGCCTTCCTCTTGTACCTCTCGGCCGCCATAGTGGACGCGTCTTCCGTCTTCCCAGAGAAGGAGGGTCACAACTTCAACAGCTGGGCAGCCTCCTCGGTGAGTCCTCCCGAAAACTCTCCCCCGAGGCCTGTTTGGGAAGAGGGAGGGGGTCAAAGTTAGCTGCAGAGAAAAAGGGCCACACGCAATAGTGACAAAACACAGCAGTTGGCTGATTGATGGCCAACAAGATGGGGCTTGGGTTAACACACAACAAGAAGGAGCCAGAGTGTGGCCAGCCATAGCTGTCCTTCTAAGAAGGCTTCGAGTTTCCCCTGGAGAAGACAGGACCAAGGGCCAGCTCAGAAGGGTGATGGCTGAACACACAGCATCCAGTTGGGAGCTTTGCAGGACAGGGTGCATCTTGAAGCAACAGTGACAGCCTCCTTTTCTGCAGCTGCCACAAGCTCACCCTCCCTAAGCTGTCCCCTTGAAATTTTGAAACATATACCCTGGCAATGCTGACGCGTGCATGGTGGTTCTGTTGAATTTGTCTAAGTTGAAGAGGGCACCAGATCTCATTACAGATGATTGTGAGCCACCATGTGGTTGCTGGGAATTGAACTTAGGACATTTGGAAGAGCAGGCAGTGCTCTTAACCCCTGAGCCATCTCTCCAGCCCCAAGTGGTCCCCTTGGTCCCTCCTAACTCTAAACAGAGATTAGCAAATTGAGACTTGAGATTCATAGACACGCTGGCTGGCTGTATATTGAGTGGGCTGCCTCACCTCACTTCAAGGAGATGGCAGACGCTGGAGGCTGAGCCCTGTCTAAGGGTACCTGCCTAGATTAGACATACGCAGCTCCCTCGTCACCCCTAAAGAAAAAGGTTATTGATGCAATAAAGTAGATTTAGAGAAGGAGGCCTAAGGTCCAGGGCAGTTTGAGCACCTGACACAGTGCAGGGGAAGACATCACTCTCTAATCTGGAAGTGTCCACCATGCTTCGTTCACTTCCTGTCTACTAGGGTTTGTTCACTTCCTGTCCGCCATGCTTCATTCATTTCCTGTCCACCATGCCTCGCTCACTTCCTGTCCGCCATACTTCATTCACCTTCCCCATCTACCATGCTTCCGTCCCCACAGTTCTTCGCCTTCCTGGTCACCATCTGCTACGCTGGAAACACATACTTCAGTTTCATAGCCTGGAGATCCAGGACCGCACAGTGACTTCCTCTTCGGAAAATGGAGAAGAAAAACGCACCAGGATGCATCTGGCTGTGAAAACAGTTGTAGCTATAATGTATATTGCCCCCAGAACTGTATTTAACTAATGTTTTTATATCTTAGTTAAATTACCTCCTAGTGGCTTGTTACATTTAAGCTCGATACTTACTTGCAGAGTGTCATGACTTCTGATGAACTCTGAGGTCTCTTGACTTCCTCATAGTCTTTATTTTCTTACATAATATATAAATAAATGACTAAATGTTAAAGAAGGTGTCAAGTTTGTAAAACTAACTTAACTATATCTTTGGTATGTGTGCCTGTGTATGTGTGTTTGTGGATGGGCGTGGTGTACAAGTGTGTCACAGTACCCATGTTCAGGTCCCAGGACAACTTGGAGGAGTGAGTTCCTTCCACCCCACAGGTCCCAAGGATAAAATTTAGGGCAGCAAGCCTGGCAAGAGGAGCCTTTCTTTGCCCACTGATCCATCTCACTGACCTAAAGTAAATTTTTCTTTTTAAAGATTTGTTTTTATTTATTTGTTTGTTTGTTTATTTTTAAGACAGGGTTTCTCTGTGTAGCTTTGGAACCTGTCCTGGAACTTGCTCTATAAACAAGGCTAGCCTCAAACTCAGAGATCCACCTGCCTCTGCCTCCCAGGTGCTGGGTTTAAAGGCATGCCCCACTAACATCTGGCTTATTTTTATTCTTAATTATGTGTGTGTGTGTGTGTGTGTGTGTGTTTGTGTCTGTGTAGTATAAGGACATCAAATCCCCTATAACTGGTGTTTAGGCAGTTGTGAACTTGGATCCCCTGTGAGAGCGATGTGTGGCTCTTACCTGCTGCAATATCTCTCCAAAGTCAATGTTGAAGATAGCAGATTAAATGGTGCAACACCCCAGCTAGTGTTGAATACGACTGATAGGGACACACCCAGCACCCCAGAGCCGGGAAAGCTCTCCTGCTCGCAGGGCTGCTCAGGCAGCCATATTTGTCAGAAAATAGTCCCCAGGACAGGGTGGCAAGACAGACCCATCTCTTCAGACCTGGGGACACAGTGCCCATGACTCTCACATGCTAGCCCACATGCTAGAGCAATCAAATGAGACAAAGCCTCAAGCTTTAGTAACAGAGTTCTTGCAAAAAAGAGGTGTCGCCAGGACAGGCTTGTTTGTTGGAGAACACATTAAAATAAATACGTAGCCATTAAAAGGATCAATGAGTACACACACCTTTAACTCATGTTGAGGGTTGGGAGATCTCTCAGTTGCCGTGCAAACTGGGGACTTGGCTTTGATCTCCAGAACCCACATAAATAAATGAATGAATAAACGCTGAGGCTGTGACTTGACTGGCAGAGTACTTTAGAAGCCCCAAGTTCAACCCTTGGCATGGTAGTCCACACCTGTAACCCCAACACTCAAGAGGTAGAAGCTGGGGAAGTTCAAGGTCTGCCTGAGGTTACATCAGACCCTGCCCCCTCATCCAAAAAAAAAAAGAAAAAAAGAAAAATCAAGCCTGGTGGTGCATTTCTTTGTGGTTGTGAGCCCGGCCTTTGATGACTGAGCCATCTCTCCATCCTTGGTCGTGCATTTACAATCCCAGCACTCGTGAAGCAAAGGCAGGAGGGCCCTACAGTTTTCTCGTCAGCCGACCAAACTCCTACTTGTGGAGTTCCGAGAAGCCAGGAGAGACCCTGTCTTGAAAGAGGGGGGCAATACCCGAGGAACCATATCAAAGGTTGTTCAAAGCTTGCTGACCCCAGAGATGTCTGTGCCGAATCTGAGCAGAACTCCTGTGCCCAGATGTCTCTAGATCTTTATCTCAGCCCTCTGAGGACAGCTGCTATCTTAGTGGGAGCACGCAGATGAACCCGGCACATGCCCCAAGAGGAAGTGTTTTTAGGTGGCACAGTTCCTGCTGCCACAGCAAGTGTCTTGGGGGTGACTTTTCAACTTGAGTTTTTCAAAAAACAAGAAAAACCACAGACACGTTAGTGAGGTTAATGTCGTATGCAGGACTGAAGCAAACGTTCTTTCAGTATGACGTCCCACTGGTTTCTAGGACTTTGCGGTCCCTGTTCAGAGGTATTTCTCCCACCTGTGTGTTTGCATTTGTCCTGTTTATCTGGTTCTCCGTGGCATCTCTGGGATAGCCTACCACTTGGTGACTTTGCAAAACACACAACAAGTAAGGCTCGTGTTACTGGGGAGACTTTGCTTGCTGTGCTGGTTGAAAGAGTGAACGCATTCGCCGCCCACATGGTCTACGAGACAATGGTGCTCAGCCTGTGTGTGGGTCACGACCCCTTTGTGAGCCAATGACCCTTTCAAAGCGGTTGCCTAGGACCATCAGAAAACACAGATGTTTACATTACAGTTCATAAGACGAGCAACATTACAGTAGTCATGAAAATTATCTTTCCTGTTCAAGGTCAGCCTGGTCTGCATAAGAGTACCTGGCCAGTCAGGCAGGAACTAACAAAGCAAGACTGTCTCAACAAGAAAAAAGTAATGTTTGGGTAATCTCATTGTATTTTATCTCCCAGGTCATCAAAAACAAAAAGGAATAATGAAGCATGGTTAATAAGAGCTCTGATAACAAAAATTGGGATTCAACCTAGAGGTCAGAAAAGCAAAATCGTCAGCCACTGGCTTTTACCTCTTCTTCAGTCTGAAATGGCGACCCTGCCTCCAGGAATCTCAGAGTGAAACTGTGTGTGAGAGCCGTCTCCTCTAGTCTTATAGTCCTCTCTAGTTCTGGGATTAAAGGTGTGCACCACTACAACCTGGTTTCCATGGCAAGCTAGTGTGGCTACTGGGATTAAATGTGTGTGTTAACCACTGCCTGGTCTGTAAGACTGACCAGTGGGGCTGTTTTAATTTTCTGATCTTCAGGCAAACTTTATTTATTAAAATACACATGAAATGCCACTACAATGAATTAATTAAAACAGTCTCACATGTTATTTCTCCGTCCTCTCTCTCACCAAAGCAAGGACACCTTCCGTGTACCCAGTGGATTTTGTCAAGTACTTTATACTGCAGTCAAGGCTCCTTAAAAGGGCAGCGAAGTAGAGGCCTGAAGGCGTGTTTCTGGGAAGCTTCCAAGGGAGGCCCTTCCAAGTGCGAGGGAGTAAAGTCCCCTGGGGTGAGCATGGCTCTTGGTAGGCTGGAGATCCCAAAGATCTTGAACAAAGTCTTACCTTCTGCCTTTCTCTGTGGTTTCTCGGAAGCAGGCCCATAAGCTCCCATGAAAACTCATCAAAACAATAAACCTAGGTTCAACCGAAAGAAAGTTTTGTTTCTTTAAAAAAAAAAAAAAAAGCATGAGAACTTTTTGGTGAATCATCTCCAAGTTTGCATTTTTGTATGACAAAATGATTCCAGGCAGCTGATATCAACAAGGATTCCTGGAAAGACGCAGTTACGGCTGTGTCTGCCGTAACTGGCCAATAGATCTGCAGTGATGTGGAGAGGTTGGAATGTTGCTGGTCCTCAGATAACTACCTTATCTCAGGCTAAACACCCCTTCCCGCCCCTCTTGAATGGCCAGTCCTTGCTCACCTCTGTGTCTGGCTAGCAACTAACAACCTGTGATGAGTAAGCTGAAAACCCCTGGCATCTATTAATTTAGCAGAACACAGGCTTCCTCACTCCCAAAGCTAAGAGTGTCAGCATCCAGAACAGAGACACATAGAGACAAGCTTCCCACCTTGCTGTGACCACCTCTCTCTGACGCACACCAGTGTATTTTAAACATGCTTTTTGTTCCATCAAGCTAGAGAAGTGCTTCCACAGGGAAACAGTGGAGTTTGGGTTCACCGCAATCTGTGTTCCAGGGCCATGGTGACTCAAATTTGGCTCCAGAATAACCCATCTCTTATTCTTTTTAAGCTGATATTGTCATGGGGGGGGAGGAATGGTTTTTTTTTGTCTTGTTTTTGTGCCAATAGTTGAAGCATTTTAACTGAATTTGATTTTGATTGTTTGCTTTTTGTTTTTCTGAGACAGGGTTTCTCTGTTACTTTGGACTCTGTCCTGGAACTCGCTCTGTAGACCAGGCTGACCTCAAACTCACAGAGATCCACCTGCCTCTGCCTCCCAAGTGCTGGGATTAAAGGCATGTGCCACTACTGCCTAGCTGTGGGTTTGATTTTTGTTGTTGTTGTTGTTTAAAACACACACGCACACAGCATAGTGTTGCATACTTTCTTCCCCCTTTGAGACAGGGTTTCTCCACCTGCTTGCTCTGCCTCCTGAGTGCTGGGTTTAAAGGTGTGCACCACTATCATCCAGCATGCTGCATACTTTTAATTCCAGGACCTAAAAGAGATAGGTAGATTTGAGTCCATCCCAGTTGAGGCAGTAACTGCCAAATCAGCCAGAACTACTTAGTGAGACCTGTTGGTGGGAGTGGAGGGGAGAAAATGGGGGAGGGAACAAGGAAAACAAAGTATAATGATATTTACATAGGAAGGTTCCATGGTAGGGCTGGCGAGATGGCTCTGCCAGTAAAGATGCTTGCCACTGCGCCGAATGACCCATGTTCAGCCCCACCCCCACTCGCATAATGGGAGCAACCTGACTCATATAAACTGCCCTCTGAGCTCACTGTGGGGCGCGCACACACACACACACACACACACACACACACACACACAAGTGTAATTAAAATACTTTTAAGATGCCATGGTGAAAGCCGTTACTTTGTATGCTCACCTGGAAACTGTCTCTCCAGTCACTTGTGCTCAGCAGCTGAGTTCACTTTCCAGCATTTCCTGGCCTCTGAGATGGAACTGGGCAGTTTTTAACTTAATGTGTTTACCTACTCCGGGCAAATCAATACAAAAATGCTCGAGGCATTTCATCGCTCGCCACTGCTTTTCCAATCCATCCTCCTAATGAGAAATATTTGGCTAGTATCTGAAAACTATAAGAAAACCGAGAGAGGGAGTGCTTAATTGCAATAGTTCACTTTCAGATTTTTAAATTGCTCAGTTCACTGGAGAAGTCCCTTCAGGGTATTAGCACCCGAAGAGTTCAAATGCAAAATGTATCTCTGTAGGAAGCACTGAAGACACACCTAGGTGAAAACTAATTCAAAGTCTGGGCCTCTCCCCACAAGACAGGGTTTGAATCGAAAAGATGGCACATTGTGGGGGAGATGGACTTTATTGAAATGTACCAGAAAAGATAGGTTTTCAGAGAAAATAACATGGACGTGCAATGCGAGAATGTAAGTATATAAGTATACACAATGCCCACACGTCAGGATGGCTCGGCGGGGAAAGGTGTTTGCCACTGAGACTGAGGACCTCAATTTGGATCCTTTGCACCCATGCGCCCACAATTCTAGGACTGGGAAGGCAGAGACAGGAGAATCTCTGAGACTTACTGGTCAGTCTAGGCTACTTGACAGACCCTGTTAAAAATCAAACCTAACAGTTCATTTTTAAAGGTGCCTGAAGCCAGCTTAGGTCCTGGTACAAATGAGCAAAAAACACCAGCCCCCTGCCAAAACCTGCTGGCCTTGCTATTTCCCTTCCCACTCCACCCAAACTCAGCTTAGTTACCCACCCACCCTCCCGTGCCCAAACTAGTTTAGAGTGGAAAATTACTCACAACCAAGTTTTGCAAGGTCACATAAGTCTGACAACTTTAAAATAAACAACATACGCACATCACACACCTTTAATCCCAGCAACACTCGGGACACAGAGGCATGTTGATCTCTGTGAGTTGGAGGCCAGTTTAGTCTCCCTAGAGAGTTCCAGATCAGCCAGAGCTACTTAGTGAGTCCCTGTCTCCAAAGTACTCAAAAATAAACGGGAAGTGACCTGTTAGCAGGAAGCTGTGAAAGGCAAGGGGAGACTTCTGCCCCAGTGTGGCTGATGTGGGATACAGGGGAGGTGATGTGTGATGCTCTGGGCTGGAGTGGATGTAAAGGAAGGTACTGGACTATGTGAGGGAAGACGGGATGGGGGCGGGGCTTCCTGGCATCACAGGGGTAACAGTTTCTGCTGAGTGTATCAGCAAAAGGTGTAATCTGGCCTCCAGCCGTTATCACTTTAAATGAGCCCTCAACCTTGTGTATCAAAGAAAAGCAGTTTCCCATGGGCTGGAGAGATGGCTCATTGGTTAAGAGCAATGGCTGCCCTTCCAGAGGTCCTGAGTTCAATTCCCAACATTCATATGGCAGCTCACAACTGTCTGTAACTCCAGTTCCGGGAGATCCAGCACCCTCTTCTGGTCTCCTCGGGCACCAGGCACACACATGGTGCACAGACATGGATGTCGGCAGTATACTCATAGACAGAAAGTAAATAAATAAATTTAAAAATCAAAGAGTCTTTTTTTTTAAAGTCTTAAATCAGGCGGCATCAGTGGCACACCCTTTTAATCCCAGCACCCGGGGAGGCAGAGGACCTCTGTGAGTTCCGGGACAGTCACACAGAGAAACTGTCTTGGGAAGAAAAAAAAATTAGAACTAAGCCTGTGTTGTGTGACTTCTGAGACACGAACAAACATTGATTCACCCCAGGTCCAACAGCAGATCAGAAAAAACATTCCACCATGAGTCCAAATAATCTCACTTTTGCCAGGTATTTTCTCAGTCTAGGGAACAAGAGTAACCAATACAACCAGGGCTATGGGTCACTCTGCATCGCAGGGGAGAGACGGAGACAGCTAGCGACGGAGCAGGACTCCAGACGTCCTTCTCTGGCCTCCGAGTGTGTGTGTGTGTGTGTGTGTGTGTGTGTGTGTGTGTGCGCGCGCGCGCGCGCATACTCAAAATCAAAAAGATGTACCACGGCACGAGGATGTTTCCCGGTTAGCTTAAACTGCCACCTTTACACAGCCTAGAGCATCTAAAAGGAGCAGCTCCTTGGGGTGTGGCGCACACCTTTCTGGTCCAGCACTGGGGAGGCAGAAGCAGGAGGATCTCTGTGAGTTTGAAGCTAGCTGGGTATATAGAGATTCTAGCTTGTTTGTTGTTTGTTTGTTTGTTTGCTTGTTTTTGAGACAAAGTCTCTCTACGTAGTCCTAGCGGTCCTGGAGCTCACTGTGTAGCCCAGGTTGATTTCGAACTCAGAGATTCACCTGCTTCTGCTCCCCAGGGCTGGAAGTGAATTAAGTGCCACACGCCGGCAAGAGAGAGCCCGCCTTAAAACAAAGCAAAAACAAAGAAAAAACGCAGAATAGAGGGAGGACGGGGGGAAGGATGGTGTGTGCACGCACCTGTGCACACACACACAAGCACACGCAGAAATGAACAGCGCAGCACGATACGCTCGGGCATTTCGCCCTACTGGTATCAGCACTCAGCGGCAGCCGCACCCCACCCCCCCCCACACACACACAAAAAAAATCCCTGGAGGCTCGTCACCAGCTGTGACCTGGGCGGTGCGCTTCTGGGAGAGGCCAGGGCCCCAGGCGTCCGGTTTCCTGCCCACGCCAGTCCAACTTCCGCGAGTCTGGTGGGCAGAAGCTTGCGGGGCATCTGCTCCCGGGTCCCCTCTGGGTCTAGCCACAGTTGGGAAGAGGGACCCGAGCGCCCCGCCCCTGAGGCCCCGCCCCGTCCCGTCCCAGCTTTACTAGCCAGAGGTCTCGGGGGCCCGTAGGCCGCCGGCCGGTCTGGGCCCCCGCGATGTCGCATGGATCAGGGCTCATCCGAACCACGTGCAGCAGCGGCGGCGCGCCGGGGCCAGGCCAGCCCTCGGAGGGACTGCTGGACCGGGTGTACCCGCGCACCCAGGGCGCCCTACTCAAAGTGGCACAGATGGTAAGAAGGGCGGAGTGGCTTGGGGACGCGTACACGGGCTACACCTGGCCGGGAACGCGGGATCACTGCGCACCGCTTTAGTGTCTTCCTAAAAAGTTCCCGGAGCAGCCCGCAAGGTCTCCCGTCCCCTCGCATCTCCAACCGCCGCCCTGCGGGGCCGGCCCGCTTCTCCACTGAAACCGGGGGTGTGAATTCCTTCTCGTCTTCCTTCCTCTTCTCCGGGCCGCGCGTCTCGCACCCGAGCGGAGGGCTCTGCTTGGCGTTCCGATCTCTGCTGGGGACGGGAAGAAGCGCCGCCTTTAAGATCATCGCTGGGCCCCCTGCGCTCCTCCAGGCCTCAGAAGCTCCTCAGAAGGCCGTGGTTAACTGGGAAGGCCTGTGGCTGAGGGACTTCTGATGGTCACTTGAAGCCAGGCAGGGTGAGGGGGGCTGTTTTGAGTGTGAGCAGAGCTGCACAGAAGCCTCTGGCCAGGCCAGAAGTTGCCAGGCAGGCCTGTTCCAGTTCATTCTTTACCCACCCTTCTTTTCTCCCTCCTGTTTGCTGTTTTCAACTTCTTTGAAAGGTCTCATCTTCAACGCCTTTTCTGTTTGTGTGGTGTGTTTTGAAACTGGGTTTGATGCTCCACTCACTATGACTGGAGAGGGGAGTGGTAGTTTTGTAGAAAGCTGTGGGGACAGAAGTTTAGGGAACCCGGTGCAAAGTCACAGACCCGGAAGCGGGGGTCCTGCCTGCTAAACAGGAGCAGCCCCCCCGGGGCCAGGGTACTGGGCCAGAGTTTTCTCCCTTCCATAACCATTATTTTGGTTGCCTAGTGTTTTCCTGCGGAAAGGGAGGAAGGAGAAGTTCTCGCCTCTCTTAAGAAGGGAACCTGGAGGGGCCAAAATTGGGACATAGGTGCGTTTTAAAAAGGAACTAAAAAGGTGTGATGCTAAGCAGTTTTGTTTTGAGCAGAGTGGTGTGTGAGACCCAAGCTACCGGCCTAGATCAGCTAAACAAAAGCAAGAGGCCGCCTCTTTGATCTTTAAAAGCTGGTCAGAGTCAGAGAGACTCCAGGCACAGGTGGAGATGAGGTCCGAGGGATGAGGTTTGGATCAGAGGCCTCTGCCTCCATCCACAAGTGAAGCAGATGAAAAATGCCCCTGTTAGCCTGTGATTTGGGTGCACAAAATTAATTATGGAGGGGAGAAGCGCTTATGCCAGCCCTTGAGTTTGAAGAACAGGGATATTGTGCCAGCTTGTGGGTGACTGTGAAACCAGCCTGTTCCAAATCTGAGAGCAAAGATTTTAACAGTGACTTCACCTGCCTGCTGCCTCTCTGTTTGCTCCTTTTAAAACCCAGGCCAGGAGTCTCCCCACTTCGCTGCAGCTGATCAAACCCCGGTGAGGGAGGCTGGCTGCTTGAGCCTCCCGTCTGGCTCCTGCCTTTGCCCCACTCCTTAGGGACTCTGTTCTGACATGGAATCTTCATTGTTAGAAACCTCTCGCTTATCATTTGAGGATGACCGACAGAAGCAGTTGCTGACAGCACCCCAAGGGCCACATACAGATCTGCTTCGCAGCTTTGTGTTAAGCTTTCAGTGTTCCGATCAAGGGATTTTTCATGTTACCTTAAGAACCACAGAGACTGGGTTCAGAACTGGTTCTTCGTTCCAGAGGACCCAGGTTGATGTCCACACCCAGTTCAGGCGGCTCTATAGCTCCAGGGAGATCTGATTGATGCCTCAGACTTCCCTGGGCACCCACACTTTCCTGCCCCCACACAGACACACATACACACCTTAGAAACTAAACCCTGCAAAGGCCAGGCCTGGGACAGTAGCTCAGTTGGTTAGAGTACTTGATTAGAATGTATGAAGCCCTGTGACCAATTCCTAGCACCCCACAAATTTGGGTATGGTGGCTTGTGCCTTTAATCTCAGCACTCAGACCTCAGGTGGTAGAGGCAAGGGAACCAGGGGGTTCATGGTCGTTCTCAGCTATTCAGTGAGTTCCAGGCTAGCCTGGACTACCTGGGATCTGACAAGGAATGGGGAGGGCAGGGGGGAACTACTTAGGGGACTTGCCTTGGGCTCTTCTGGGCTTGTCACTTCTAGAAAAGAAGAGGCCAGAGGTCAGAAAGGAAACGAGTCTCTAGTGAGCCCTGGTACTCGTGTGTCCTTTATTCAGGTGTGATTCTTGCAATCCTGCGGTCGATTTCTTTCATCTTCCTCAATGGGCAGTGATGTGATCACTGTTCTTAACTTGGAAGAATTCGTTTAAAAGCATCTTTTTGCTTGTTTTGTTTTTCCAGACAGGGTTTCTCTGTGTAGCCCCAGCTGTTTTGGAACTCCTCTGTAGACCAGACTAGCCTTGAACTCAGAGATCTGCCTGCCCTTACCTCCTGAGTGCTGGGATCAAAGGCACTTACTACCACTCCTGGCTCTTTTCTCTCTCTTTTAAGTCAGCTTTGAATAATGTGCAAGTTGCATTCTGTACGCCATGACTGCATCATCATCACACTAAATGCTTTTAAGGAATGGAGTGAGTCATGTCATTTACTAGTGAGGAAGCTGCCTGAGAGGCTGAGAGCACCTAAAGCCACACGGCGGGAGCAGCCGAAGACTGGCTGGCACAGGTGTCTCCTTGCATCCCCAGAACACACAATTCCGGCAGAGTCTAAACTTCCTAACAATCCAGAGCAATCAAAACCATGGTGAGACAGTGTCACACGCGTGAAGCGGATGATAAGAAAGGACAGGTGACAAGTGGCTAAGGTGTGGAAGGTGTGAAGAGGCTGGGACTCTGGGCCACCGCTGGCGGGGGTGTAAACTGGCACAGCCACCGTAAGGACGCAGAATGCAGTAGCTCAGGAGTTGTGCCACATAAGCGTGAAAGGTGAATTTGTTCCACACACGCACCCATGCGTACAGCCATACACGCACACGCATACACACAGGCACACACACATGCATGTGTACACACCCACATACACACACCAAACACACACAAGCACGTTAAATAGGTGCCTGTGAGCACTACTCCTGCTAGCCTAAGAGAAGTGAGAATGTACATTCATATATATTCATTTTCATAGCAGCGTTATTCACAATAGCCAGAAGCGAGAAACCACAGAAAACCCACCAAATGGTGGTGGATGAATTGAATAAAAAAAAAAAAAGCACGACACTTAAGTATTCTACCACAAAAGAGAAAAGGGAGGTGGGGTTCTGAGATACACAACTCTGTTGGAACTCTCAAAACATTGTGCTAAGTGGGAGCGGGAAAGCTGCCCACCAAAAGATGACATTCTGTGGTTCTGATCAGACGAAATGTTGAAAATAGGCAAATTTATAGGCACAGATGAAAATCAGGGGCTGCCGGGGCCGTGTGGAAGGAAGTCAGGAGTGACTGTTGGTGGGTAGAGGTTTGAGGTGGTGTCTGAAACGGTTAAACGTTGTGGTTGGTTAGACAACCGCTGAGACAGTAGTAACGGCCGCTGGACTTCACAGGTCAGCCATTTGAAAAAATAGCCTTAGAGAAGCAGTTTTGGGGTGGGGGAGGGCAGAGAGCATTGGGCAGCCTCCAGGTCTGGGAAGCAGGGCTGTTCTTCAGGGACACCCGCAGTCTGCCCAGCCTCACAGAGTGTAGGCTGATGAAGTCTTCTGGCGTCACCTAGGGGCCCAAGAGGCCACAGCTGGAAGGGAAAGAATGGAAGTCAGAGGACAGCTTTGTGGAATCTTCTAGAAGTTCTGTGCACACCTGTAATCCAGCTACTCAGGAAGTGGAGACAAGAGGATCAGAAGTTTAGGATCATCCTAGGCTACATAGAGTCCAAAACCAACCTGAACTACAACAAACTCTGCCTTGGGTAGGGCATAGTGTTGCACACCCTGAACCCCAGAATTCCAAGCACGTGGATCTCTGTGAGTTCAAGGCCAGGCTGATCTACATACCAAGCTCTGGGTCAGCCAAGGCTACACAGAGCGTGAGGCTGCCTCAAAAAGAACTAACTAAAGATGTTAGTATCCCTCAAATATTGTAATAATGAAAAGTGCACTCAGACCTCATCCAAGTGTGACCTGCACCCTCATTTTGTATCACCAGAAACATAGAGGCTAAAGGACAGCCATGAAACACACTGCTAAGATTCTGCCCAGTTCTGACCTGAGAACAGGCAGCCACTTTCTGCTAAAGGCAAAAACAAATTAAAAATTGATAAGGCTGGAGTGATGGCTCAGCACTGGCTACTTACTCTTCCTGAGGTCCTGGGTTCGATTCTCAGCAACCACAAGGCAGTTCACAACTGTCTGTAACTCAAGTTTCAGAGGATGGGCTCTGACACCCTCTTCAGGCCTCTGTGGGCGCCAGGCACACGTGCAGACATACATACAGGAGAAACACTCATCACATGGAAGAAAAATAAATCTTTTTTTTTTCTTTTTTTTTTTAATATTTATTTATTATGCATACAATAGTCTGTCTGTGTGTATACCCGCAGGCCAGAAGAGGGCACCAGACCCCATTATGAGATGGTTGTGAGCCACCATGTGGTTGCTGGGAATTGAACTCAGGACCTTTGGAAGAACAGGCAATGCTCTTAACCTCTGAGCCATCTCTCCAGCCCCATAAATCTTTTTTTTTAAATTGATAATAAAACTATGGGTTTTATCCATCCTAATCAAAGTGATTTGCTCATTGTACATAGCACCCAGAGGACAAAGAAGAACACCTACTCTCCATTTACTCCTCCAGCGGGAGCAATAAGTAAGACTTCTTAGGACTTAGTAGACAATACATATAGTTTTGGCGTTGTTTACAGCAAAATTAGAATGGCCGTGTACCTATGAGATGCTCGCTTTGGGTTTATCGACTATAACTTACAGTTTACCTGCTGTTTGGCTTTTAAATCTTTGTGGGGTGCTTGTCTGTGGGTGTGTTTGTCTCCATGCCTTTATGGGTGCAGGAGCGGGTTGTGTGTATGTGCATGTGTGCGTGCGTGCGCACGGGTGTGTGCACACAC